TATATATATATATATCCCTCGAATTATTGCTGCACAAAACCTATGGCTGGTATCACAGGCCACATTTGGTTCTATGGGAATGTACGCTCATGTATTTGCTTACTCCTTCTCTGCTGAAACTGTGCTGGACCTCAGTGGAAAAAGAAGGATCTTTTTCTGCCTGCAGCTGCTAGAGGAGGGCTCATGGCACCTCCCTGCACCTGAGAGGTGAAGGGACATCACTGAGGAAAGCATGCTTCTGCAAAAATAATTTGATCAGTCAGTAAGTTCAAATTTTGTGGTACACAAGACGGATGAAAAACAGGTTAGTTTTTGTTTGTTTGGTTGTTTTTTCCCCAGAATTTATCATATTGTAAATCAATACATCCTAACATCCACTGAATCCTAGTAACAGGCATTAATAGGGTGAAACCTGTTTCACATGAAGTAGTATTACACTGAGTAACACTGAATCCGGGGCAATCTACAGTTATGACAGTGCCATAACGCCCTGGCACAAGGTTTAATTCCTAATTGCCACTTGGTTTCCTGAGTCTAGATTCTGTCAGAATAAGGTACCTGACTGTTTCTTCCTGATGGCTGCCGAACATTGCATTTGCGTGCTGCGGTAGCTGCAGTGCTCAAAAGCAAATGATATATTTTAAAACTCTTATGGATGTTTATCTAGCAGTTTTCTATAAACGACTGCAGAAACACTAGATAAATAATCTCACAGTCCCAGAATATGGTAAGAATAAGAACATTTAGGTTGTGCAGCCTGTCTGCCTGCTAATGGATGCCTCCTGTCTGCTCTAGGTAGGAGGTTTCTGTCTAACCCTTGCTGACCCCTTCCAGGCTAAGTAAGCGCATATGGCAAGGAGCAGCATCTGTTATCACCAGCCTTTCGAATTTCCTAAGTACATAAGGTGATACAGAAAACAGCTACATACATTTTATCAGGCCAGTCACAATCAGCTTGAGTTAGTTAAGGTCTGTTCTTGAATCCACATCTCACAGCAGGTCTTACTAACTTGGTCATAGCAATGCCCTGATATGACAGTATTGTATCACGACTAACCAGAAGGACTGCACAGATTCACAATGTCAAAGGCACAGAGGACCTGGGGCTGCCACAGGGCTTCTGCATTAACCCACCTTCTGTCAGTATTCTGAAATGAACACTGGCTAATGGTAGCTGTAATAAATATATAAATACTCCCCTCCCCTTGTAGGCATCTAGGGCTTTTATGGTGGATCACCTAACTTTCAGGCTCTTGCTTCTGGAATAGAGTCCAGGACCCCTGATGGGCACCCTATCACAGGATGGGGCTCAACACAATCAGCCTCCACAGGGAGCAAACTAAAATCTGTATGTTCTGTCTGCAGCTACTCAACAGCAGCCAAGGGGAAAAACTTAGGACATGAAAATATGAAAGCTAGCCTATCTCTGTGCTCCTGCGATTTACACCCTGCAACCTTCAGCAAGCAAGATAACTGCGTCTCTCCATTACAAGAGCTACGCAGGAATCGTATCTCCAAGTCTTCTCGGGAGAAATGTATGACGCATACAAGCACATATTAGCTTACAGTTTGAAAAAATTAAACTCTTAGAAATTCTGTTCTTTCTCCTAGGGAGTGGCAATGCCAAATCTTTCTCTTCCACAAGGACTGCCTAAAATATTAAGCTATACACTGATAACAGTAGATTACGGCCCTTTGTTCCCCCCTGTTGAAACTGTGCCATTGTACATGTGAAGAATACAAGCTTCCCAGTTCAACTGTCCTAGTCCCTGTGCTCTAAGAAGATGCCGATCCTCTACTTCACATTACACCCATTGCATTTTATGGACATTTATCGTACAAAACAATCCTAATACAGAGAACAATATCCTAAAGATAGCATAGTTTCCTGGCTGATACATTTATTGCATTTAATTTCATTTCACGCAGTTTGAAGTTGTAAAGTATCTCAGGAGTTTGCTGTATAACAGCAAGCCTAAAAAAGCCTTCATTACAGCACTGCAGAATATAACTCCTCACTGTGAAACAGAAGATATAGACAATTCCATAAAGAAAACATATAATAGTCCTGCTTAAAGCCCAAGAAACAACACTTCCTATGAAATGTGACTCCAAGTACACTTACAGCCTAAGCATCCAAACTGCTTGGAGCAACACTTGCAATTGTAAGGCCACTGATACTGTTGTGTCTGATGACATCTAATGGAAAACTTTGTAATAAGGGTGTGTCCTCTGAAACAGTTCCTAAACATACAGTCAGCACTTAGCTCGAGCACCCTCATCACTATTTCTAAATTGACCTAAACCTCTCAGAGCAAAATCACAACAGTGTGAAACTTGAAAACTAGCTTCATTTCATGTGCTTCTAGTCTCCCTGAAGCTGGGTCTCCTGGCTGCAGTTTACACCGACATCATTAAGAATTTTGTTTTTGTACTCAAAGTTTGCCACTATTACCACTGGGAGAAAAAAAAGGCATAGACAAAAGTAAGTTGAAGTTTAGCAACTGTACTACACTCTAGAAGTTCTAGACAAGATGGAGATAAAGAGGGAGTATATTTGACTGTTTTTTCATCCACTAGCCTTTACTAGAATGACAACCATTGCAGTACCTATGACATTAGAACCGATACTTGCTGGTTTTCCTTACAGACAGAACAGGAATCACTGCGATGCAGTGGTAAGGGCACTTGCTGTGAATGGTACACATTCAGTGTGATGCAAAACAGATATACAAAGTGGATACACTTGACTGAAAAACCCAGTGTTCTATTTGGGTTTTTTGCATGATTACCATATCTGGAAAGCATTTATAAGTACAATAATGATCTAAGTTATGCTAGACTGTTCTTAATTTTCAACAGGCTATTATGTTTTTAAATGGGATTTTACCTTACTTGGCTGGAATCCATCGTAAATAATCCATAGAGGAAAACAAAGAGCCCAACCAGGGTAGCAGGAATAAGCATTCCAGTATACCACCCCAACCAGGCAAAATACAGTCCAATTTTTTCACCAAAATATCGCCTATGTGAAAAGGAAACACATACATTGTTTAAAGTTAAAACTTATGGTGACCTCTATCTATCTTCACATTAGTAGATTAATTCTAATGAGGAACTACCATCACAAGTTTATGGTAAAATTATTGTCAGTTTACCAAAATATTTTATTTCAGGCTAGCATAACATTTTAGTGACACTAATTGCTGACTTACCAGAACATATATTTTCTAAGGATGTAACTGAAGTGCTCTGTAATTTTCATGTCCTTGAAATGACTAAGCAGATGTACTAGTTTCAACACTATTAAATGCAGGACATTTTATTTGCACACACAGATATATATGTGTGTGTATATGCACACACACACACTCAAAAAATTTCTGGAAAGGAATAAAGCAAGCTGTTATGACTTAAGTATTCCATTACAGAAAGTATTTACGATAGACAATCATGTAATGTGACATATTTCAAATTATTATTTGAGAAAACAATGGACTGAAAACACAAGTTGAAGATTGAACTTTAATTCTTCAAAATTAGGGTATCAGTTGCTAGAAGAAATAAAGTAGCAGTGATCAGAAAGTCAGTCATGGATGATACTATTTGATCAGCACAGAATTGTCCCATGGCACATGCTCAGCGCCACAGCCTTCAGTGGAACAATACTGGGCACAATGATTGGTTATGACTGTCAGATCAGGAATAAAAACTGACAGCAAGGAGCTGGATCTGCGTGCCTTTTATGCAGCCTCATTTGAAATTAACAGCCCTGTACAAAAGACAATCCAAAAGAAGCAACTTAAAGAATTTCAGTCTTATCTGATAATACTGAATGGCTACATTTTACAGGAAAGCATAAGGACAAGGAATTTACCAGTACGGTTAATGCGCTGTTACCAGGTTGGTCGTATCACAGAATAAGCTATTCTTCAAAGTACTAGTACCTGATTAAATCGAGAGGCTGGTATTTGTACCACATTCCCCACCGTGCCCAGCGCTCATATAAGAGGTGTCTGTGATTCTGAGCCCCATGTGTTTTGATGGGATGTCTGCTCTTGTGGCTTCCCTGAAAAACATACAGAAATAAAAGTATATTACTAGGCACTATGGAAAAATATATAGATTTCTTAGGCATTTGAATATAATTTTAAATGAGGTGTTCATTATTTTTAATAAATAGGTCTCATATTATGGACGCCTCTAGGACATGTCATCTGGAGCTAACACATGAGCCTGACAGAAGAGATATAGTTACTTATGCTTCTGAAACGGCCAGTTTCTCTAAGAATTAATGATAGAACCACACTAGTACAAGACTATAAAGAACTACTCAACCCTCTATATGGCTTCAAGTACAGTGTTTCTATTTCACTAAAATATGCTTATTTGTATGCTTTCACCTATTTCAATTTTTCAAAAATTTTCATGAGATGTTTGTAGTATCTTTTTTTCTCTCCTATAAAATTTTAGAAATTTCTGGTATGTCAGCTCGGTTCTCCTCTCCTAGACATTTTCTATTACTTTAATGCCTGTTTAAAAGTATAGAAAAACATAGTCTTTCTGTGGTACATATTTTCTAAGATGATGGAAACAACAGAAGTGGCATTATTTTGAAGCTACACAGGACTCTCGGAGGCATTAGAAGCAAAACACAGAGTCAGTCTGACCCAAAAGGAGTCTTTCCAGGCCATGCCTGACATTTACAGACTGCCTGACAGCCTGAAAGAACAGCCTCATGCTTAGCAGTCGAAAGGTAACACACAGATTCACTAGAACCACCCTAAGCAGAATCTCTTGTATTTGTAATTTTACTCCAATTCTGAAGCAGGACATCTCCTTTAGTTGAACTTTTTCCCCAAAAAAGACCCCACCACTCGGTTATGGTAAAGAAAATCTTTCATCAAATAACTGCAAGTGAGCCAAATAATTTCTTAGGAGGAGAACAGAGTTCCCCAGAGCAATACTTCAGAGTTAGCAATCAGAAAGATTCTTGACCCTGGTAGATCCATGTAATTTAGCCATTTAGATTTTTATAATTTATTTCAAATCTTGAGCATTCCCTGCAATTGAAAGAGCACTATTTACTTGTTGCAATCTGCTGACCCACTAGTTTAAGAATGAGTTAAAAACACAGCTAGACATAGCAAAAAGTCCAATTCTACCCATTTCTCATTACAGTCAGCAAAGAAGCATACAAAAAATGTCAACACAGTGTGACCTTTGCAACGTCTAGAAACACCTAAGAACAGAACATCAACTTATTCTCACAGGCATATTTTTAAATCTCCTGCCTCCCGCTCACCCTCTCCACCGCTTCTTTCTGCAGTGTTTATCCATAACAGAGTTCAAGTCTCAGCATTCCCACTGGGACTGAATTTTCACTCTCATTTGCTCGTGTGATAAAGAAAAAATAAAAAATTTTTTTAAAAAAAAGTGTTCAACCACTAGCCCTTAGCACCAGCCAAGCAGCAATTAATGTAAGAGTGGCTTAAAATATGACTTAATTAACCTCAACTGAAAATTTGAAACAGTAGCTTATGCCATAACAAAGGAACATACACATAAAAAGGATATGATAGCATGGTTTTGACAGCCAGAGAAAGCTTCACAGGTTTTTTCTGGTAGTATGGCCAACTTTTCCCTGAAGTCAGTAATGCACAGCTAAAGCGTTAACAATGATGTTCAATTATTTATCTAAAATACTCCTTCTCTATATCCCCAGTATTTAATTATTAATACCATATAAAAAAAATCACCCTCAGCGATTTGTAAAGCACAGGTCAGTCCTTTGAAACACAAGATCAAGTCACAATATTCAGCCCGAGCAACCACAGAGTTCACAGCTGCAATTACCAAGCTGCTGATCGGCATTTAAAACGACTGAAGATGTGTGGCTTGCTTCTTTCTTTTCAATACACAAAGATTGTCTGAAAACCCTCTGAAGTCAAACACAAGTTTTTCATTTACTTCACGGGTTTACAGTCTTCAGTAGACTTTAACCTACTGAAGAAGATATTGTCAAGAAGTTATCCAGAACCATTCAGAAAAGACTAAATGGGAAATAATTAACCAATCTACCTAACTGTGATCAAGTGCATAAGCTATTAGAAAACCAGAGCATTTTGTAGGTAGCAGGTAAAAACAGTTCAATACAACTAAATTGGAACAATTTGGAAAAACTGATATTCCAATTAAGAACTCCACAGGCAATGTCCGGTTCATAAAAATAAAGGATTATAATATGCTAATTCAGGAAGAAAATGCTCCAGGAAGTTATTACAGTGCGCTATGTAAGAAAAATTTAAAAAGCCAATATTAAAGTAAGAGCTATAAACAGAAGAAAGTCTCAGCAGATTACATAGTGAAATTAAAAGTTTGCAGGACAAAATTAAAAAGAAAGTAGGATCTCAAAACATTAGTGCAAGCTTTAATCTAAAGACAAATACAGAATTAACCAGGTTACCTCATGTGGTGGAAATGCTGCTTCATATGTTCCATTATTTAGTAATCTATTAATACCTAAAAAGAAAAAAAGCATTAGTTCTGATATCAATTTTTTTAATACATATTTAACTTCAGGCAGTGCAAATTTTCAAGTTACATATTGAGAACCTAACTTAATATTAGATGCACAGGATGCTGCTAAACATGACAATAACCAATAATCCCACCAATTGTTTGTGCAGGTCGTGCTGATTCCTTGAGATTTCTGTCTCTGCCAAACTACAGCAACTTTCTGAGGGCCAATGTCTGCAACTTTTCTCTCAGGGTCAGGTGCTCATGCCAGATCAAGCGTGAGAAGAGAGTTATTCTCACGTTGTATTCATCAGAGCATGTGATACAGATTTTATGGGTGATCAGATGATCTGACATACACAGAGTGGTATGGACAGACAATCCTTGAGGCAGCAAACCCCCTGCAGGGCTAAATGTTAACCTGTTGGTTTTTTTAAATATAAACAAGCTGAACGAATTTGTATCAGAGCAGTGCTCTGCACCATACTGGCTACAGCATTTTCAATCAGTTCCTAGAGTCTTCCTAAAACCAGATTTGTTATACTATCAAAGCACATTATAATAAATAAATAATAAATAACCATTAACAATTACAGTAAAAAGATTCAGTAGCCTGTAAGAGCACACCCATAGCCAACAGTTTCCCCAAGAAATAAGTACTTGTGATGGATTTCAAATTTGTCCATTAAATATACAAATCATGCTAAACTAATCTTGTAATTAAATTTGCCATCAGCAACTTCACAGGCATTAGATTTGAACCCTTGTATTCTATGCTTTTCTTACTACTGCTTTTCTTCAGAAACTCAAGCAACAACTTTCTGTGATTTCTATCATCTTCATAAGTATAACGTTTTAAGTATGTCTATACGTATTTAATTCTTAATTTAATTCCTGCAAAGAAAATAGGAAATCATACAAACATCCCCTGTTCATTGCAAAAGAAAAAGAATAGCCCTTATAAAAAATAATACTATAACAGGAGAGTTGATATAAACTGAATTTAGTCTTCAGGTCAACTGTCTCAGAGCTGCATGGAGACCTCAAATAAGTGTAGCTCACATTGATTCTGCTGGACTGGAACAGCTGGGTAGTAGCAGAACTACTAGGACCAGTCCTAGAAAACACTCAACAGTTTTTTGAGGTATATGTTATCTTGAATGGCAAAATTACTTGCATTTACTCAAATGATACTTTTCCAGGCAGGTAAAGATATAAATTTTTTGTAACTTCAGGTCAGGAAAAAAATACAGCATTCTCACCCATTTTGGATTTTCCATCTTCATACTTAGTTCTCTGTAGCATGTGATGCACGATTCTACTTCTTGTGGAATTGCTGAAGAAGCTGTCTTTGTTGTTTATCGTAAAACTATTAAAATAATGAATGTCTTTTAATATTCAAACAATGCATAGGTGTTGAAACATAGCTGCTCAAGTGTCGTCTTCTCACAGTGTTTTATTGGATCTTTACCCTCCTTGGTTACTGCACAAGATATAAGATTTTACATCTGTAGAGCATCTTCTCAGGTCCAATAAATCTATCATCATCACAGATTATTGTTGGGAAAACAGAGCAACTAAAACTAAATTCTAAAATATCCTACTATCTAAGTAATTTCTGTTCTGGATATAATTAAAAAAAGATCTTCAGAAGCAGTGGTTGTTCTCAAATTCAAGTTCCTTATGAGTTGGCACATGTCTGTGTCATGGAACTACCAGAACTACTGCTTAGGAAAATAAAAAATTAAAAAAAAAAAAAAAATTATCTCCATGCACTGGACACTTGAGTAGCAGCTTCACAACCACTTTCCCTTAGAGAATCCTAGGATGGAGCCAAATAAAGCATCCTTTCCCAGATGGCTCCGATTTCTGGATGCCAGAAATCTGATATGCAGGAGCTTTTGCCTACTCAGCTGTGCCAAAAGTGACGCTATCATGGTTGGTAATATCAGCGGAGCTGGTTGAGAAACACCACCAAAATCAGGTGATTGATCCAATGGAATATAGTCAGTTACTGGTGGGGGTGCAGGGTGGGGGGGAGAGAAGAGACTGTAAGGCAATTACTCTATCTTTCCAGGGTAAAGTCAGTCCACTAGCATATAGCTTCTTCACTGAGAAGAAAAAATTCCTATTTAGCCTAATTTATGCTTCTAATTTAAATGAACTTTTCTCTCCTAAAAGAATTATCACAAAATACTTTTAAAATGAAGAAACAGCCAGAATTTTCAAGTCTTACTTTTTGGGTCCTGAAAAAATTTATAGCACAGTTTAACTACATCATCACCATGCCGATTTGAACACATACAGGTTTTATTTGGAATATATATATTTATACTTTCAGAGACAAAAGCATTTTTAAAATGCAGATCTGATAAGAAAGAAAAAAAAATCATCACAGGTTGTAGCTTGCCTCCATGTCTTCCCAACTTCAACAACTGTCTCAGGTTTTGCCTAAGTAAAATATGTAATTAAGCAAAACAAACTTGAGCAAGTATTTGCATTTTGTAACATAACGGAAAGAAAAACTTCTGAACCAAAAAGGCAGTGTTCATTTTTCAGTCAAATTTTTGCCTATACTACTGAGTGACCATCAAATAGCAAGTAACAGAGAGTAGATTTTGGCTTTAAGAGAAAACCCATAGAAAATATCAAATATGATATTGGGTATTTGCCAGTGACCATATGTTAATGGCTTCCTCTATGGCACTTGCTTAGAAGAAGTGAGAAAATAAAAAACCTTGTGGTCTCTAATGCTGCCTTTCTAGTTCCAGCACTTACTGGTGTATGCGTGCGCGGCTAAAGGGTGCTGTGTAGCAATCTGTTTCTTCCAGATCAGGTAGGGCCTCCTTATCAAGCTTCATCGGATTTCTGGGCAACCAACTTTTCAGCTCTCTCATATTCCTCTGCAAACTGAGACAGTAAGAAATCAGATTTACATGCTTTCACCTGCTTGCTATTTCTAGCTCCAACATTGCATATTTAGTGACATCATACTAGAAATGAAATGAAATGAAATGAAATGAGGAAATTTCCACATTAACTAACTAAAAGAAAATAAGGAATTAAGACTGAAATTAGCAGTATTTATTTGTGATCTATCTTGCGCACTTTACTCAAGTACAGCTCATCCTAAAATTTGTGGGATTATGGTTTGAGATGGGACTACAGCATTGAGTCTGGGGAAAATGACTTCCCAAGGTAGTTCCTCTGGCAGAACTGTGGATGCTTATTATGTCTTACTCAAGAATATATCTAATTACTTTCTCTAGCCCCACTGGACAAGGCAAATTAACTCCTCCTCCCTCCCCTGCCTGGTAACTTGGACACTAAAATTCATAAATTTTTGAAGTAAACACGAGACTGCTGAGGATCAAATTTTTATGGTTTTCCGATTTCAGTAAAGCCTTCCCCTGCAACATTTTCATCAGAATCCAAGGGCTGACATTGTCTTACAAAACAGCATACCTATACCTCAGATAAAGTAAAGGATATGTTATACAGAAATGGTTATACAGTCTTTAGACAAAAAACTAGGCATGACTTCACGCAGTTTCCTAAAAATTGACATTATAAAACACAAACAGAATATGATTTTTGTATCCTCAATTAGATTATATACTGGTAAGAAAAAGGGCTTTCTTCCACTGGCAACTTGCCTAAACAGTATCTCAGGATATGGTTTATACAGAGGAAAATCTAGGGAAGTGCAGATAATTTTCAAGCAAATGCTAGAAGTCACCTCCTCATTACTTCCAATTTTGCACTCCTTGCTTATCTGTATTTTTTTTCATATTCAACTGCAATGAAATATGGGTATTTAAGGAATAGGTCTCATATTACATGAGTGCTACATTATGACACCATAAGCATATCAGAGATCCAGAAAAAGTCTGAATTTTAGAAAAACATAACCCTAAATAATATTTTTTCATTTTTAGCAGGATTTGGGCCTTACTCAATGAGTATGTATGCATGATATACAAAGCATATATGTCTCATATCCACAAAAAGTGTAAAGCTAAGTAGCAGACATTTTTTTTATCTGAGGTGAATACTTAATTGCCTGTGCTAAGTAGAAGCACAGCTACCATTTTCATACTTAAGGGTAATAAGTTGCCCTCAGGCAGCAAAGCCACCTTGTGAAAATGTATCTCTTACTATCAACATCAGCAAAAAAAAAGTTCTACCACTATTTGATACTGTGTCAGACAGGAATTTAAGCCAAGTGCGGATCAGAATTTTACACTGACATTTAAAATTCTCAAAATTTTCTTCTTGCTATATATTGCCAAGGTATTGCCGCACTCTGTATGTAACTGGTACAGCACTTGAGGGACACCACTCTATGTGACACTAAGCATTATGAGCCAAAGAACATAACTATGTCCATAAAGTTGAAACACAATACAGTTCCCAGGCAGGTGCATCCCTTAAGTGTCTCCTTTACTCAAATCATACCTTACTGTGTGAGTTGATTATCTTATTGGTTCCAGGGGAAGTTCTCTCAGTATGAAGTTAAACATAGTATATATAAGTACAGTTTTCACTTTATTTTCTTCATCCTTTTTTCTGTGGGGCACATGCTGATTTTTTTCAGAGTCAAAACCCACACTTTTTAATGAGGAAAATATGCAGATGCATCAAGAAGAATAACAGAAAGACCATGCATCTGATTTCAGATTTTTCATTATGAAAATCTTTTAGAATTGGTTATGTAAAAAGCCTTGATCACTTCCCCCCCTCCAAAAATCTAAAAATCTAGTAGGTACTTTTTATCTTAAAGAAATTAGCTCTTTTTTAAAATTCATGTCTGCTCCGTTTAACATGCAAAGTAATGAAGAACAGCATTGGAATAAATTAAAAATTATGTCTACATTACATTTGCAATTTCTCTTCTGAGGCAAAAAGGCTTTTTATCTAAGGTGCGATTGCTTTTTCATTACATCACTTATGGTTGATCACTCCAAAGCTTAGTGCCTTCAGATGG